TCCTGGGCCCACTACCCTGGAATAATCTCTACAGAAGCAGAAACAAGAGCAATCTTGACACAACAGGTGGGAGGCAAGAACCAGCTCCCAAAAGCTTGTCCTGTGACCTCCACATATGCATCATGGCTTTTGGGTATGTGCACAAACATGCATGTGCACACACAAAAATTCTTAGAAATTAAAAACAAAGGGCAGTGCTCACTCTGTGGCGCCAGTCCTGTTATAAAATCTCCGGAATAAATAAGAGGTGGCTCAGAAGTTAAGAGCACTGGCTGCTCTTCCAGAGGATCAGGGTTCTATTCCCAGCACCCACATGGCAGTTTACAATAAACTGTAACTTCAGTTCCTGAGGCCCCAACTCCTCCTTCTGGCCTCTGCATATAGCAGGCACACATTATACACATACGGGCTAAACATTCATACACACAACATAAAAATAAACATTAAAGGATAAAATAAGAGAGTGCTTACACCCCTCTTTCTCTCTAGTGTTGTGGGTAGCACCCATGCTAAGCCCCACCCCCTTGAGTCTCAACTACGCCACCCCCTACACTTCACCCTTCTTTGTTTTTTTTTTTTTTTTTGGTTTTTTTTTTTTTTTTTTTTTTTGGTTTTTCGAGACAGGGTTTCTCTGTGGCTTTTGGAGGCTGTCCTGGAGCTCGCTTGGTAGTCCAGGCTGGTCTCGAACTCACAGAGATCCGCCTGCCTCTGCCTCCCGAGTGCTGGAATTAAAGGCGTGCACCACCAACGCCCGGCCACTTCACCCTTCTTAACCCCCAACCCCAACTGTCCCCCTTGGCTCTGATACCTGGACCTCTATTTTCCTTTCACTATGTGTTGATGAGGGTAAAAGAACAGGTTCATAGATGTATAAGACCCTGAGTTTAATCCCCTGAACAGGGGAGAAAAAACCCCTCCACCTCCAGAAGCTGTTCCCAGGTGCTAAAAGAACCTCACCCCATAGATGCTCACTAATGTGCATGAAATGGTCCCCATCACTCACCTCCTCTCTCAGGGGAAGGAGCTTGGACCTGCCCATGCAGCTGGCACTCCAAAAGGCTGATTTTTCCATAGTTCCCGAGAGCAAGATGGAGCCAGGATGCTCCTATCTCTGCTAGTGGCACAAATGACCCATCGCCATAGTTAAGCAAGGTCCCTAAGTCAGAGCCAGTTGCCACCAGGGCTTAGACCTGGAGTGAACACCAGTGTGCAGGACTGAGCCTCATTTTCACATGAGTCCAAAAAGATCCTGTTGGCAAAGTCACAATGTCACCAAGCTACAGTGATGCACACCTCTACTGCCAGCCCTCAGGTAAGGGGGCTGTGGTGAGTCAGGAGGATTACTAGTTGGAGACTAGCCTGTACTAAATAGTGAGTTCTAGGATAGCCTTGGCTACATGGTGACTTTAAGGTCACTTGGGATATGCAGTGAGAACCTGTCTTAAAAACAAACAGACAGGGACCTGGAGAGATGGCTCAGAGGTTAAGAGTGCTGACTGCTGCTCTTCCAGGGGTTCTGAGTTCATTTCCCCGGCAACCACATGGTGGCTCACAGCCATCTACATTTCAATCTGGTGCCCTCTTCCAGCCTGTAGGCAGAACATTGTATATGTAATAAATAAATCTTTAAAAAAAACAGACAAATAAAGCCAAAAGCCACCAAACCTCCAAACCCTAAAGTAACCAAACAAAAAGAGTATTGGTGCTTGCTACCGAGCCTGATGGCCTGACTTTGGTCCCTGGACCCCACATTGTGGGGAAGAGAATATGCAAGCTGTCCCCTGGCTGACACAGCAAGTCCCAGGGATCCATCTGCCTGTCTCTGCCCTCTGTCTTTCTGTTGCTGAGATTGTTGAGCCTGGCTTTTTGTGTCTGTCCTGGGCATCAAACCCAGATCCTCATGCTTGCACACCAAACTCTTTACCAACTAAGCCACCTCCTCAGCCCCTCAAAGACTCCTTTCAACATCGCTTAGCTTGTAAGATGCCTCATGCCACTATAGCAAGCGGCCCATCACTCTCATCTCTGCATAGAGGCCCTCTACTGACTGTGTCTACCCTGCCTGTCACCTGTGACACATGGCTGGGATTGCCCGAGCTCCAGCACCCATGACTGTCCTCTTTGGGTGTGCTAGGAAGGTAGAGTCACGGGTTCCCCTAATGGGCTGATCTCCTCTACATCCCACTCCTGGGGAAGGTATGCACATGAGTCCCTCATCCTCCTACAGTCAGAGCATCCCTGCTCAACCGGCAGCCAACTGGGCTATAGAGATGCCTGGGCAACAACCAGGTAACAGGTTTCCAAATGAAATGTTTGCTGCTTACAGAGTTCAGAAAAAAAATGTGTAGAGACCTGAACTGAACCTGCCCCATGTGGGGATCACAGTTGTTTCTCTTAAGAGGATTAAGGACTCCACACCAAATTCTCACTGCCAGCCCTCACTGCTGGCTCACGTGGGCTCTCAGAATGAGCTTGTCACCACTGGCACAGTGGTCTCCTGGGGCTCTTAGGATATGCCGTGGAACAGACTCGCCCAGCCAATGTGGAGAGGGAAGGAAGATGTAGGGTGGGAAGGAGCAGACCCTTCTTCAGAGTGGTAACAGTCAGGCACACTGGGAGATGAGGGGCTCCCGAGAATGCAGGAGGTGAAGGCTTACAAGTGGGGGCTGGGGCTGGGGCTGGGGCTGGGGGGGCTGTTCATCAGAAAAGCTGGGCTGAGCAGAGAATGGGGCAGCCATACTCACTGCTACCCTGTAGAGAGGTCTCTACTGATGCTGGGAGCACTGGGTTAAAACTATCCTGCTTGGGACCCTGGGACTACTACATGGTCCCTTGGCATGGATATCAACCATGGTTCATGGACGAACTGTGTGCCAGTGGCCTCTTCTGACCAATGGCAGTTGGAAGGACTCGGCTTGAAGACATAGAGGTCCCTGAGGAGGTGAGACTTAGTCCTGCCCACTGGTGTCCACTCCATGCCTGACCCAGGTGGAGGGGGCAGCAAATGTTACCCCAGGGCAGTTCCCAGAGGGGATAGGAACTGCAGTCACAGCAGACTCAGCTGTAGGCGTCCTGGAAGAAACTGGCTCATGCCCAAAGCCATGCAACGTTATAGTGCCCCAGGAAAAGGAGCCTGAGGTACACAGGAGAGACTGCAATGGCAGCCGGGAAACAGGCATATCTTGTTCCTTGTGCTCTAGGCTCTGACTGGGCACAATGGTCTTTCTCAGGCTGCAGTCAGAACAGTGGTGGCAGCTTCACACTGAGACCAGCTGTGTCTTGGGAAAGAAACTGTCTTCCCGGAGCCTGGGTTACTAACAGTTTTCCCAGAGGCTTCTGAGAAATGTTCCCTCAGGTCTCCTCCAAAGCAAGCTGCAGGCAGTGTATGCTAGGCCAGAGAACAATTTCCCCACCAAACTGTCAGTCATCAGTGTGGGCAAGGGGTTCTAGGAAGCACCTGGGATCCAGAGGAGGAGGGAACAGGGCAGGAGGAGCCCCTGCCTTTTCTCCATCCTGCCCTTCCTCCACCTTGCACAGCAGTACTCTCACTAGACACACTCACAGGAGGTCTACAGAGGCAGAGTAGCCCACTTGACATTCACAGCTGGGATTCCCTGGAATAGTTCCCACTATAGTCTCCAGGAATCCCTCCAATACGTTCTTACCGGTGCCCAGAGGTAGGCAATGTGGGCAGGTGACTCTCAAATGTCACAATGAACTAAGGAGGTGGAAAGCTTTACTAGGAACAGGAAATAGGGAACCCAGGGAGGCAGAGAGGCTGATCTTAATCACTAAAGCAACACGTGTTACATTAAGTCCTGGCACCTCTGTGAATCTACCTAAGTCTTGAATAGAAATGGTGAATGCACAGGTTCAAGACAACCTCTCAGTACAGACACAGACATTTCTTCTCTCTGAGGATGACAGCAGACAGCTCTCTCTGGCTTCCAATTGCAGGCACCGCAAGGACTCTCATCTCCCAACCTTCTGGGCCTGATTGCCTGTACCGACTGGTTGTTCTGGGTCTGCCAGTCCAGAAAATCAAAACCCCACCTTCCTCCACTCACCTCTACAGTCCTGGGAAACCTGACAGCCACATTCTGGGTACCACAGGCCCAACCACCACCACCCCCTCTTGTGAGCCACGTTATTTTCCTGTGTTTCTTTGGCTAGAAGCTCATGGGATAGTCTGTGCAGCCAGCCCTTCCGTCAGCTTACTGTAACATCTCAGCCCCACTACCTTTTTTGGATGATGCCCTTTCCCAATGATGTCTGCCCTACCTTAAATGGAGCTTGTCTGTCCACAGGACTTAAGTTCATTGCGTGGTCCTAGGTGGGCTCCAGATCCCTGCTACTACAAGGGCCTTCTGTAAAACCCGGTGGCCATCTGGAGCCTTTTAGTTGTGTTCTTTGCATATATATATATATGTATATATGTATATATATATATATATATATATATATATATATATATATATATTCAGGTTTCCAAGTGATTCAAGGCTGGGTGTGGTAAGTTATGCCTAAAAGCCCAGAGCTGAGAGACTGAGGTAGGAAGACCTCTAGGAATTTGAAGCCTCAGCTATAGAGTGTAAGCAAGTGGTAGGTTAGCCTGGGCTAGAGTGAAATCCTGCCTCAACCTTCACCCACTGAATCATGATTCATTAAAACCACAAGACCATGCTCTTTGACAACAAACCCTAACTAGAGTGCACATCCCTCTTCACGGTTGCATAACTCAGTTGAGTACATTAAAGAGGTTCTCACTCCCCGTCAGTCTCCCCCTGGCCTCGGTTTCTCCATCTGTAAAAACTGAAAGCCTGGCCAGCTCTGATTCTGACTCAGGAAGCCTAATGTTATGTCCACTCCTGTCTTGCTCACAGGCTCAGCTCCTGGTGAACTAGAAACCACACAGTCCATTGAAGCTTGTCACCCATTGTGAGGACAGCAGAGGGCAGCTAGAACCTGCAGCTGTGGGGCAGGGATGGGGCTTTACAGTCTGCTCCTGGCTAAGTCTTTCCCCTGCTTCCAGGAGAGGCCCCATCAAGAGGGAAGAAGGCTCAGCTCAGTGAATCTGGGCCCAGTGAGTTTAGACTTTGGGCTTCTTGAATCTCAGAGGCATCTGTTTTGGGGGCTTGCATTGGAGGTTTCATCTCGGAGAAAGCAGTATAGAGGAGCAACTCCCGGGGAGGAGGCACCTGACATTCAGCCCCAGCTTCCTGCCTGCCCAGGAGCTGAAGGATGACACCCCTTCTCCTGGGGTAGTGGGACAGTCCACTGTGCCTCATCTAACGATCCAAGATCAAAGTCAGACATCCAGATGGAAAAAGGTTCCTGGGGTCTCAGAATAAGTGGAGAAAGCATCGTGAACTTCGACAAAGGCAGCAGGTAGGCAGACAGACATGGAGAAAAGCTATGCCCACAGTGGTATGCATGACCCCACACATAGGGCAGAGCATCTTTACCCAAGGGCTGCTCCAGGCCCCACCCAGCTCCAGATCCACACCACCTTCCCTGGAGCCAACAAACTTCTCTGAGCAGCTGCTCTAAAACGTGTTGTTTGGGGGAACACATGAAATAGGACCGTGATTCAAGCTCTCGGGGGCTAGGTTGGCTGATGCAGGCCTGTCATTCCAGTTACTCATGGCAAAGGCAGGGTATAATTTCAAAGCCTGTCGGGCCAACAGAGTAAATTCTAGTCCAGTCTGGGCAATTTAGGGAGGCTGTCTCCAAAGAAAAAGAAAAAGGAAAAAATCAAAGAGAAATGGAATCTTCCTGCCCAGACTGTGGGACTCAAGTTCCCTTCCAGCAAGTCCTAATTTTGGCATGACTCTCCACAGATATTTCAGACATAGCAAGAAAACATGCTTCCACACTAAGACCCCCTCCACAAAAGCAGCAGCAGGCTGCCCTTCCTTCACAACAGAGTCTGTGGTTCAGAGGGAAGGTCATGCTGATTGTAAGGCCCTGCAGACAACCCCCACACATACAGCCACCTCCCAGGGACAGCACAAAGCAGTCGGTCACTTCTAGAATACACACAGCGTTGACTGAGCATCTTTACTTGCTCACTGGTCAGTGTTAGGACACTTTGTGTCCTCTGTATTTGTGGCTGAGTGTCTTCCAATGTGCAAGAGCCACAGGATCCTTGACCAGGTTTCACGGACGATGGCAGGAAGCAGAACACCATTTCTGTACCATTCTCCTGCTTCTTCCAGAGAGTGAGCTTGTCCAGTCAGTCTCTGGACACTGGACACTGCAGGCTGTGAGTTTCTCAGATGAGTGTCTTTCCCCATCAGAGCTGCAAACCTGCTGGTTTTAGCTCACTGCAACCTCAGGGTTTATCTGTATACATCGACAGTGAGAAAGGAAGCCGAGGCCACGTGCAGCCTCTCTATCAGACACCATGAGGAAGAGGGCTGGGCAGTTGTAGAGTGCAGTGGGGAGGGACAAGCAGCGTGAGGGAAGTGGGGAGTGCGTGCCTGGCTGCAGCCCACCTCAAATTCCACCTGCATCGCTAGTATTCCATTTTCTGGAACTCCTTCCCCAGACGACATGAGAGGGAAAGTCCCCCACTCTGTTGCTCCCTTGGCTCTGCTTGCAGTAACCATTTGGAATGAAGCTCTCTGCCTAAATCCAGATTTGTCTGACTGTTGCTTCTCTGTGAGTTTGAGCCCATCTCTGACAGAGGCAAGTGCAGAAATAAAATAGCCAGTCTAATGATGGAGGCCAGACCCGTGCTTCCACGGCCTTAAGGAGCCTGTAAGGATCAAATGCTCCTGTCCCAGAAGGCTTGGAGGAAATGTCATAGCAGTAAGGGTAGGTTTGGGGGGGGGAGGTCAGTGACATCAATGTTGCCCAGAGGCTCAAAGATTGGCCTGAAGTGTCCAGTTGCACGAAACAAGCAAAGCTAACCCCCTTTAAAATGACAAGGGCTGTGGGAGACGGGTCCCAGGCCAAGTCCTGATCCAGATTTGCCTGAGGCCCCACCCAGTCTTTAGGATTAAGGGATCCTCTGTGAAGTCAGTAGGATTAACTGGTACCTCCTGCAGAGAACAGAGTGGCCTTCATCAGCCTAGTTCCCTTGTCAAAAAGTGTAGAGGGTGGGGGCAGGGAGTCGGGCCACACCCTGACTTTGGCTCAAACTGTCAGAAACTAAAAGAACCATCTAGAGTCAATGCCTGCAGAAGCCCAACAGAGGCCCTGAAGATGGCATGGAAGGAGGGGACTCTGGAACCTTCCATCACTCTCTTTGACCCAGTTAAGGTTTGATCTCCAAAGAAACAGGCAGAGACTAGATCTGAGAAGAGATGCTCGAGGGGAGTGGGGCGGGGGAGGAAGGGAGGTGGGCGGGCACGGAGGTGTGCTTTATGAGGCAGGCTTTAATGATGTGGTTGAATTCCTACATGCAGGATTTACTACATTTGGCTACAGGAAAGGTCTTGTTAGAACTGGACCCCAGAAGTGAACAGGGCAGTGTTTGGCATGGCTGTGCATACATAAAACACAGGAATCTAGAAGTTCTGGCAGAAGATGAAGCCAGTTTAGGAATGTCTGTGGGAAGGGTCTGCCCCTTTTCCTGGAGGCATGGCCAGATAGGTATCTTGGGCTTGAGGTGCAATGTGAAGGATAAGGCTAAGAGCTGAGGGAGGATAGGGGTGTGTGTGTGTGTGTGTGTGTGTGTGTGTGTGTGTGTGTGATCCTACATGATGCAGGTGTCCAGGACTTTTGGTGTGGAGGTTTGGGGTCCCCTCACTGAGTGCTTCTTGCCTTTTCCCACAGCATCCAATGGGGGGGGAGTTGAGCCTTACTTCTGGGAGCTGTGTTTGTCCTGAAGCAGGTGGCATCACTACCCATCCGCCCACTTCATCTGGCTGCTACAAGGCTGGCACTTTCTCAGGTGGGATCCACAGGGGTCAGGCCTCAGTGTGGGGGTGAGGGTTGGGGTGTCCAGCAGAGATTCTGGTGGAAGAGCTGAGGGGAGGGCGGTCCTCCTTACCACCCAACTGTAGCAACCTTTGGCTCACACTTCAACTAAGCTGTATGAGGAACAGCCAACACTCCACCCTCTAGTGCCTGGGGGATGTGTTTCTCTTCTCCTCCTCCTCATCCTGATGCCCTAGGACAAGAGGCTTAGCGCTGCCCACCAACCTCCACCACTGTCACAGATGTTTCTGGAGAGAGGCCAAGGATTTGCAGTTATTCTAGGATCAGAGATATGTGCTTAAACACCCTGTCCAAAAGTAGGGGATGACCAGAAGAGGCCGTGGTACAATATGGCTTCTCCTCTGGGGTCTTAGAGGCTGTGTAAGGTTCTTAGGGTCTCCATTGGTCCAGATCTCAGCCCCCAAGTTATCTTCTTGTCTCTAGTACAGCCTCTGCTCCAAGTTCCAGCCTGAGAATTCCTACCCTGGGCTGGCTTTGTTGGTCAAGAGAATACAACAACAACAACACACACTCATACGAACACACAGAGACACCAGACACACATCATCACCAGTCTAGCAAGTTCAATGGACTTGTCTAAGGTTTTGGGGCCCATAAGGCACCATCCTGCAGCCCATGGTCTCTCCAGGCAGGGCAGCTGGGTAATGGAAGTTGAACAGCACAGGCTTGCTTCTGTGCTCCCATTTCCTACCTTTCCTTTCTGTCTCTGTCCTCTAGAGAAAAAGCTCCCAGGTCAACACTGAGTGCTTCTTGCCTTTTCCTACAGCATCCAATACGGGGAGGGGGGTTGAACCTTACTTCTGGGAGCTGTGTTTGTCCTGAGGCAGTCAGAACTTAGGCTGTTGGCACAATGCAGGAGGCATCAATTTTGTCCTCAGTGAATGGCTGGGCTGATGCCTAGAACCTTGCATTTCCTACTCTCAGGGTACCAGCAGGGTTTCTGCTTGTGGGTGCCTCACCAGCCCTAATGAGTAACAACTGGGTTTTCTATCTAGCTTGAAATGTGTGTGTGTGTGGGGGGGCATGTGGGGAGCGGGGATGGGAGTGTGTGGCTTTTTAGGATGACTGTTTTCAGCTGGAGAAAGTAGCTGCTAGATAGTACCCTCTGACCCTTGACACTGCTGTTTTCCTCAAGGAAGGGAGTACCTGCCTGGCACCGGCTCCAGGGACGTGGGGAACACAGTCTCTCAAACTGTTTCTTCCAGCAGGAGTTGCGGGTCTACCCAACTGGTTCCCTTCCTCTACCTCATCAGTGACCTATGGGACAGATGCTGGCTGATCTAACCGGTTTTCTTTTCTGGGAGCCAGCCTGAAACAAGTACAGGGAAGAGGCCGGAGTCTGATGCAATCAAGAGCAGTATTGGCATGGGTGTGAATGCTCAAGCAGTTACAAAAAGCCAGACCACCAAACCTGGCTGAGCCTAGTGACCCACCAAGGTGACTGCTAACCACCCTTTGCTTGGCTAAAATGGCATCTTTCTTTTTTTGGGGGGGCGGGTCTTTCGAGACAGGGTTTCTCTGTGGCTTGGGAGGCTGTCCTGGAATTAGCTCTTGTAGATCAAGTTGATCTCAAACTCAGATATCCGCCTGCCTCTGCCTCCCAAGTGCTGCGTGCGATTAATGGTGTGTGCCACCAATGCCTGGCTTAAGTTTTTTGTTTTTTAAGACAGGGTTTCTCTGTGTAGCTTTGGAGACTATCCTGACACTCGCTCTGTAGACCAGGCTGGCCTTGAACTCACAGAGATTCGCCTGCTTCTGCCTCCCGAGTGCTGGGATCGAAGGTGTGCGCCACCAATGCCCAGCTAAAATGGTGTTTTTCAATCATCAGCTTTGCAGAACTGTCTGCTCCCATAATGCACCTGCCACTATGCTATAATCACACTAAGTGTTGGTAAGAGATAAGAGTAAGTGGCAGCTTGCAAGGTTCTAATAAGACATGAGGGCTGAGTATGCTGAGGTTTATTTGCAGCTAACCTCAGGAAGACGATCCCTTTCTCTAGGCATACAAGGCTATCAGTTCAATGCAGGTGTTATCAGGTGCTGGAGGGCAGCATTGTGGGAGCTTGCAGGGCATCTGTCTTGGCTCAAGGGGCCACATGAGCTCACTGAATGGGAACAAGATCACATATACTTGAGGCCAGGCCACTTGGCAGCCCTGCCATTACCACCATGACTTAGCAGACTACAAAGTCCTATATAGGCACACAGGCAGCATGGCTGGATCGTGAGAGGTGGAGCAGGTCAGGTGGGGGCCGATAAAAGGAGGGCATGTTTGTGCTTGGAGAGGCTCAAAGCCTTTAAAGAGTGGTTTCTAACTTAACTCTAGGACAGGAAAGGATAGTATGAGCCATCCAACATTTCACTTATCTGTGGACATAGCTGCAACAGGTCTCCTAAATGGGGATGGGGGTCCTGTACTGTATGGGACAGGCTGGTCAGAGACAAGGCCCACCTCAGAGGAACCAAGTTTCCAGGTACCTCTACTGTGCTGTTCCCAACCTGTGCTTCAGGATGCTCTGCTGCTCAGAGCAATGAACTTGCCCCAGGTCCTGAAGCTCTAGAAGCTGCCAAACCCTTCCAGATTTACACACACCTGCCATCGGAATCCTCTGCTTTTCAAACACACACTTGGAAGCCGATGGCTGGTCATGAGGACCTCAGCACCCAGAAGGTGTGACCTGGAAGATCAGATCCATTACAGGTTCAATGACAGAGATGGGGTCTGGCCTCAAGGGTTTCTCTCTCACTGATGCTAGGGTGCAGAGAGAAGTGATCCCTAGGTTGAGCCTTGAACTCTAACCTGTCCATGAGAAGAGGGTATGGTGATATATTACTTATGATTTATTAAAGCTTGCTTGAGAATTCAGAAATCAAAGTCAGCCTCAAGTTATAGAGATCAGGCAGTAGAGGTACACACCTTTAATCCCAGGAATCAGGATTAAGAAGTAGATGGATCTGTTAGTTCAAGGCTACCATGGCCTACACAAGGGTGAAGAGTAACAGAGCTCATGTCTTTGATCCCAGCACCTGGGATCACACCCCTTTAATCCCAGCATTAGGGAGATGTATAAGACAGGAAGGAGTAAGGTCTCAGAGCTGGCATTCAGTCTCAGGATTCTTTCCAGTCTCGATGAGGAGACGCAGCAGTCTGAGGCTTGGTGAAGAACTCCAAGATCAGCCCTTTCAGCCTAAGCTAGAGGTAAAAGCTAACAGACGGTTGCTTTGCGGTTCTGATTTTCAACTTGAACCCCATGTCTGTCTTGGGTCTTATTTTTCGTGTTACATGAGGGTGTTATGAAATGACCTGGAATCATTTTATTTCTTGCTGGGCCCCTTTCCCCCCCATCTCCTTCCAGAGATGGAACTCACATGGAACTCACAGCACAATTAGGATAAGGGTCCCCGCTAGGCTAAGCCCTTCCCCACCTAGGGGCCTCCAGGAACTTTCTCCCTCCTGTGACCTTAGTGTGTCCCTAGCTCCCTGGCTTCCCTCCAGCCTTGTCACCCTCAGGGGGCTGGTGAGCAAAGGAATGTAAGGCTGTGAGAAAGGGGTGGGCTGAGAGAAAAGACGGTTCCCACACAGGGAAAATCTGGCACTGAATACAGAACACAGAAGACTGTCAGCAACTTAAAATTCCAATAGCTTTTTTTTTTAAAAAAACAAACAAACAAAAAGTTCCATAAAACAGCCAAACCCCACCCACCCACCCCCCTAGCCCAGTGTAACAGGTTAGCCATTAATACAAGAGTGAAAGATGTTACAACCACACCACTAACTCAGGTGGCACAGTAGATGGACCCAATGTGGTAGGAACACAGCCTTTACACACCACTCAGACACTGACCTCTGAAATAAGCCAGACACAGGCATTCTTTAGGTCAGTGACATGTTAGGACAAAACCAAAATGCGAAGCACTGAACAAAATGATTGTGTGGTCAGGGCTTGCTTTAAGAAAACAAAAACCTACATGTGGGAGACCCCAGGACATCAGAGATAGGAATGAACAGGGCCTTCTCAGAGGGTCAGCACCATGAACATGGCCCAAGAGTCCCTGCCCTTTGGACCCAGGCTAGGACTGGGTTCCTGACCTAATTTCCAGGACAGGGACCTCAGTTCAGATCTCTGGGAGAGCCTTCAGGAAGCACTCTGACTTCTCCCTCATCACCCCAGTGAAAGGGGACCCCAGAAACATAGAGGGAAGGGGGGACAGTAGTAAGGTTACCACCATGCAAGGGCTGCATAGTTACTCTAGTGGCTGCCCTCCTTCAGGCAGGCCACAATCTGAGGCAATGGTAGGAGTCAGCAAGGCATTCTTATATCCTGCTGTCCCTCCAAGCAGATCAGCGGCTTGGTGAGATGTGCTGGCTGCACCTCAACTGTCTCCCCCAGAACAGAACAGGAACCCTGCAGGGTGGTCACACATAGGAGGGACAGCAGCACGTAGCCAGCAGCTTTCACTGGAAGCTGGAGTGGTCCTGCCACACAGGTGGCAGAGAGCAGGGAGGGGTGTTTTTTCTGGACAAGGGCGACAGTCTCAGGAACTATGGAGGTGAACAGAGATGTGTGGGTGGGAGACCCATGGTACTGGTGTCACTGTGCCCTCCTTCCTGGTTTGTTTCTAAGAGAGCTGGAGTAGGGGGGAGACTGTGTCTGCAAGAACTAGAGCACAGCCCCTTGAATGATGCTCAAGCGCACACAGCCCTGTAGTTGACAGATGGTGGGCCAGCTCTTCCCATAGCTTCCAGCTATGGCAGCCAGCTGCTGTTAGGATTATGGCTGCAGAGCTCTCTTTCACGTATGGCCAAGGGAAGAGGAATCACCAGGCCTTCAAGACAATGAGATCTAAGCTCTACATTTATATCGTTAAAAAAATAACTCAGCAGTAGAGCACGTGCCTCATACGAATGAGGCTGGGGTTCCATCTCTAGGATCCCAGAAAAACAAAACAGCCCAAGCTAGAATACGTGTCATCCATCTGTCAGTCCAAGTACACAGTAGAAGAGATAACATCTGAGTCTCAGTAGTTCTTTTGACCTGGTGACAGTGATGTGGTCCCCTTGAGGCACACTGTGCTACTGAACAACAGCCTTGGGTGAAGAGCTGTGGCTAGCAGCGTCATATTCTCAGCTGGGCTGCTCTAGCTACGGAGCTCCTGCTCCTTGCTACCCTGTTTTGTTGAAAAGTAATCATCTTGGTAGTGTAAACTTGACCCAAATGCAAGCTACAAAAACAAAACCAAACAAAAATCAGAGAGGGGAGAAAGGCCAGATATGGCAGTCCCCAGAAAGTCAGAAAGACCAGGCCTCAGCTCACGGCATGCGCCAACATGGAGTGCCATGAAAGGATGGTCGCCTTCTGGGACCAAATTCGTACCAAAGTTCTTTCACAGCCACTGTGGACTCCTGACCATTGGAGGGACAGTGGATGATGCTGGACAGTTGGTGCTCACTGGAGCTGTGGGGAATGATAGGCCTGGATGCTGCTCTTCCAAAGGTCAGTTGTCTTGAAGCAGATGCCACTCTGTGTGGCACGCAGGATCACAGCTAAGTCTCCTGAGGAACCACCTGCATAAGCTTCTGGCACAGCACCGTCACAGAGACTGCAGGGAGAGAATAGGGTGAGCACAGGCAGAAGATGGGCATGAGCTGGAATCAGCTCCTACTGTCCTGCTGGCTCTCACCAGCCCATTATTCACTTCTCAAACTTTGAGAGATGGGCTAGACAAATGATGGTTCAGTAGGTTAGTCCTTACCTGTGCCTGGCTTTTATGTGGGTCTAGAAATCTAAACTCATGTCATCGGGCTGATGTCACTCCCCATTCTGAAACTTCAAAGTCCCCCAGACCATAGTGATAGCCCCCATCTGCAAATACTGCTCTCCTCTGGGAGTTCTAGGAGGGTAAAGACAGGGTCCTAACTGGAACCAGCCCTGAGCCAGATGCCTCATATACAAATTTTTCAAGCTCTATCTCTTGGTCAGGCCACTGTGTACAAACTAGTGGCCTGCAGTGGGGTTTTGCCAGTTGGCAAGGGCAGCAAGTCATGGAATGCCTACTCAGACCAGCTAGGGTGAACTCCATGTCTCATCCCCTCTCACTGCCAGCCCACTATACTAGTGACTCAAACCTATATGGTGAGCATGGCAGAACCAACAATTCCTTACCCTGGAAATTCCCACCCTGGCTGGTATGGGCAAAGGCTGTGTATACTCACAGATGGCCTGCAGGAGCCACTTGGGCTTGTTCTGCCACCAGACGCCAAAGAAGTAAACAGGTAGCCCACTTAGGATGATGGCAAATCCAATGCCACACTCCTTAGGTGTCTTCCAGAAGGACACGGCAATGAGGAAGAGGCAAGCCAGGATGAAAAACACTGGGAGGACCAAGCTCACCTAGGACAGAATAGAGGAATATAGGCTACCAGGTTCTCCCCCCACATTGCCCATGGCCCGTAGGCACAAGTGGAAAGCTCCTACCTATGGTCCTGTGGCTAGCATGTGACCCTGGAGCCATCATCTTTTCCTTTGGGTCTGCCCAGCCACCCTCCCTAGACCTTGGGCCTTTGCTTTGAAGTGGCTTCACTACCTCCAGCTGTTCCCCTAGCCTGCCTTAAACTGTCATGGGCCTGGAGAGCAGAATCTGTGTCCTGTTTAGTCTCACTCTGACCTCAGTACAAGGTGCTGAGCATATAATTACCCAAAGCTCCTCTGGTATAGACAGGGGAATGAAAACAGCTTGTACTGTTTCTCTTGAGGCTTCCACAGGGCAGCAGAGGTCGGTTCTGCAGTCCCCACACCACAGGTATGGAAACCCCTGGCTGCAATACCCACCCATGGCAACCTAGGGGAGGAGCCTTCTGGGAAGATCCTGGCTACCTACCAACAAACAAGGAATCCTGCCTTTTCAGTGAACCCTTTGTGGATATAAATGCAACTAGCCAAAGCAGACAGGTTTCTGGCAGGGCAGCTCGAGTGCTGAATAACCCGGCAGGCAGAGCTGGGCTTTCCTCTGTGGGCTCTTGCCAGATTGCTGTCCAGAATTCCACAGTCTTGAAAATGGATTCCCACCGTGGGAAAGAGTCTCTTTGGAACTCTAACCATGTGCCCAGGGAATGAAGCCTACAGGTCATCTGTGAACTTTTTCCACAGACCAGCTGTCAGTAGTCTGACCTCTAACCCCACAGTCCGGATGACTGTGTAGTACAAGCCAGCATGGCTGGGGTCTCCCACCCACTGGCCACGAGGTTCCTTGTGATATTGGTGGAAACCACTGAGTGGGGGCAGGAAGAAGCCTTGTGGCAGGTGTGACTGGGTCAGCCATGTGCTCAAGGAGAACTAGCTAGGTAACAGAAACTGCTAGCCATCAGCCTCCATGAGCCAGCTGTCTTGGGACAACTCTGACACTTGCTGTGACCCCAGAAGCTCAGCCTTCAATGTGCTCTTCATATGGTACTCATGGAGAATGGGGCAGGCTTCCTAGTTTGTCAAGGAGAGATGGAGGCTGTCAGTCCAGGGATCCTTGGATGCAGACCCTGCTTCTTTCTGAGGATGAATCCTAGGGACTGAGAAAGGACACTGCCCAACACTCACCTTGATGGGACGCTCTAGCTCAGGCTTCTTGAAGCGGAGCCACATCATGCCGATGATAGCCAGGGCCACACACAGCCAATTGAAGAAGCTGAAGAAGTTGATGATGGAGAAGATGTCATTGGAGAAGGCGTACATCAGGGTCATGACACACTGAAAGAAAAGACAGGGCCAGGTGAGCCTGACAGGGCTGGACTGATGCAGGACGGTGCCAGAGGCCACCAGACGGGAGACTGCCAGCTCCGCCAGTATCTGGCTGAGCACAACTGTTTGTTCTTGTTTTAAGAAGTAGCTACTGTGACCATGTAGAAGTCTGGGGTGCAAAGGGAGGGATGTGAGAACATAGCGAGGCACCCACGGTCCAAAGATGAGTCCAAGAGCTCTCTCCAGACTGGAATGGCAAAAGCACCTGTAACAGCCAGGCAGTGGTGGTGCACGCCTTTAATCCCAGCACTTGGGAAGCAGAGGCAGGCGGATCCCTGTGAGTACAAGGCCAGCCTGGTCTACAGAGCGAGTTTCAGGACAGCTAGGACTGTTACACAGAAAAACCCTATCTTGGAGACAAAAAAAAAAAAAAAAAAAAAAAAAGCGCACCTGCACCTAGAGCTTACTGTGGCCTCCTGTGTCAGAAGTAACTAAAATGTCCAATAGGTGAGCCTTCCAACAAAGCATGGAGCACACTACATCCTATATCACCGTTAAAAGAAAGCTCAAACTGATGCTGACTAAGCCTCCTGAGGGACCCTGAATTCCTGACCCAGGAAGAGTGAGACAGTAAAAGTTTCTTATTTAGGCTTCTGGGGTTGGGGTAACAGAAAACTAACATAATAGATAGGCACAGAAGGAAGAACAGTTGCGTCCAGTTTGTGTAGTGAGGCCATTAGCATGGTGTGGGCATGGCTGGAGCAGACAGTGTCTGAGCAGATGCTCCTGCCAGGCAGGGATTTCATCTAGTATACTTCAAGACCACAGTGGGATTCTGGATTTAAAAATCTGGTGGTGTATTGTAGTCTAGTGCAGCGTGGCTGCATGTTCATGACACACGTTCCCAACTATGCATTGCTCTGGGCAGACACAGGGCTCTGAGTGGTGAGGACAGACAGGGCAGGAACACACAGTAGACTTACTGTGAACACCAGTGACGGCACAGGCGTCAGGAGCTGTGGGTGGATCATGGAGAGGACAGAAGGCAGGTGGCCCTCCCTGGATCCCACGAAGAATAGCCTGTGGATGGGGTAGAGAGGATGCGTGTCAGCTACACTGGGAGGGGTATGACCACCTCCCCCCAAGACCTTTCAACGTCCTTGACCTCTTGGGCTAACAAGGACAGAAACCTGGGTTGTATTTCACTTCCAGCCCCCCATGATATGACCTCAATAGCAGAGAGTCAACAGTTCCCCTGTTCCCAGGTCATCCAAATATTTAATAATCAGCTGTCTATCACCTATAAACACAGCTTTCAAAGCTTGAGGAATAGCAGAGGGGTTTCATCTAGGGTGCTGTCAGGCACTTACCTGGAGGATGTGAACAAAGACCCATTGACAGAGCCAAAGCAGGACAAGCCCACGAAGACAGGAATGATCCAGGACATGACTCCTAGGTGATAGTTCCCAAAATCCTGGACAGACACAACGCGTGGTGAGCACTCAGCTACGATGGGACACAGGCAGGGCCTCAATTCTGGCCACTGGAGCGGCTTAGCCAGTGACTCTGCTGGGCTGATCTGGCTCCTAGCTGCCCCACACCTCAGGCTTCTGCATATGTGGCCATTTCTCAGAATTAGGGTCTGTACTATGAGGAGATACACAGGGTCTAACAGTGGTCATCCCTGAGTTTTGCTGTGGGGCATACACATAAGGTACCCTTATCCCTTCCTGTGGGACATGGTGATAATCTTTAACAGGTCTCCCTACTGATGGCTCCTTCACATCTGCCAAGAACCTGGTGTGGTAGGTCTTTATGAACCATTGGCTTGAAGTCAACACTTAAATAAATAAAAGCTAGACAGTGCTGCCTCTTCGCCAGGTAAGACCAAAAGGACAGAGGAGTGACAGGGGCTGCCAAGGAGCCTGGTTGTACCTCAATGCCATATATAGCCCAGTAACAGCCCCTAAGCCACCATGGTCCCTAATAGAGCCACCAATGTCCAGATGCCTATGACCAACCATATGCTGTCTTGACACAGGCAAGGTGCTATCTAAGCATTTGCATTTAATGCCCTGTTGCCCATCATGCAGTGAGTCATCAATGATGACCACTAGACTCTCAAGGTAGGGTAAAGTTTGGGTACAAGGGACAGGCCTGGCTGGCTTGATCAATGTCTGAGGGTGGTAGACCAACCCTCAGCCTCTTGGGCCTAGGAGAAGTTGTTAAGCAGTGTCTTACCACAGCCACAGCTTCAGACATCAGCATCTGGTTGGTAGACAGGGTTGTGAAGTAAGCCAAGTTCGTCAGCACATAAACCAACGTGACAATGGGCAGGGAAATGATGATGGCCAGGGGCAGGTTTCTGAGAAGAAGGGGGAGAGATATGTCAGTGTGCAGCCTAGGACTTAGGGCCATACCCCAGGGTGAGGAGCCAGGCTCCCTTCCCTTTGCAGTGGCTCTGTGTCTGGGCCTCACTTCTTGGGCAAACAGTGGGGATGTCTACAGCATTACCTCCTGCACAGACTTGAGCAGCTGTGCACAGCTGAATCATAGCTCACACGACCATCCCTGAAAAACTCAGGTGACTCTGAGAGCTCAAGAGAGCCAAGATGGCCCAGTATGAACACCGTGGCCCTGCCTACTAGCTACACACCTCAGACAAGTCCCCTCCACCTGGTTTTTCAGGACTGAGAGTCAGACACAGTTGCTTCTCTGGCCCAGAACTCACCCTATCCCTGCATCATCCTTACTGCAGGCCCCTGACACAGCTCTCCATAGAACCTGGGCAGGGCTCATCTATGGGCTGGTACAGTGTGTGGTTTCTCCTTCTCACAGTAAAGGAAATGTGTCTCTGCCATTTCTGTACATACCTGTAGGGGTTGATCATCTCCTCTGTGACAAAATTCAGATAGTTCCTAGAAACCAAGCAATAGTATGTCATTATATTGTACACACAGTTTGGGGGGGGGGGAAACAATGCAAAGAAAACCTTGAGCTGCTTTGGGTAGGTGTGGTAGGTAGCTTGAATGGTTCATATATATGCAAGCTTAGTTCCCAGCTGATGCGCTATCAGGGAAGGATTAGGAGGTGTAGCTTGTTGGATTGGGTGTGGCTTTTGTACCAGTAGAGTGGGTTCTGAGATCTCAAAAGCCCACACTAGGCTCAGTGTGTCTCTCTGCCTGCCCATAGATCAGAATGCAAACCTCTCAGCTACTGCTTTAGGACCACGTACATCGCTATGCTCCCTGCCATGATGATAATGGACAAACCTTCTGAAACTGTCAGCCCCCATTTAAATGTTTTCTAAGAGTTGCCTTGGTCACAGTGTCTTTGGACACAGCAATAGTACACTGACTAAGATAGTAAGGGATAGGAGAGTCCTCTGCAGGCTCCCACGGTTGACAGAAGCTGGGCAGTGGGCACCCTTGGTACCAGCTACTCACTCTCCTCTGTCCTCTGCCAACTTTATCTGAGGTGAATACACAGCTCGTCCTGTCCAAACACTCTATGTGGCTTCAACATCCCAAATCTCTATAGAGTTGTCCTAAAAGCAGAGGCCAGGCTGGGTACCTTATGGAGAACTGCAGACTCTCCCTGCCTGTTTCCTAATGGTAGTGACCTGTAGGTGCCTGTGCAACTCAAAATGTTCGCTGTGCTCTGCGCCATCCACTTGAATCACCCCTGGATGGTCAGAACACTAAGAATCTGGGCACATCAGGACCTGTGTGCCCAGGCCAAGGGACTCTAGTGTTCCAAAACCTACCATCCTCCATAGGCAAACAGGCCACTGTACAATGCCAACACGATGTTCCCCACATCCCAATTGGTGCCTTCAAAGGATGACTTGGGGTACAGGTTGGATATATCACCTGGAATGCATTAAGGAAAACAGAATACTGGTTAGAGAATCTGGATAGATCATAATACAAATTCTGGAATGTTTCTGGAGCAAAATACTGTAACAAACAAAAGTTTGAGTGTTGACTTTTTACTGCAGATTACTGTATCCATCTAGCCACCTGATCATTGTTGTCCCTGCCCCCCAAATCCATGAAGCTGGAAACCAGCAGGGAGGAGCAGAACCATCCCCCTCCTCTGGCTACTCAGAGGAATGTGGCCTGGCTACAAGCCCATGTGATCTCTCTGTAGGCAGAGGACAGCCGGTCCCTTGGCCTGGGGGATCAGCTCCAGGGTCTCTGCTGATACAGTCTCGTTGGAACAGACTCTAACCATGTGCCCAGGGAATGAAGCCTATAGGCTATCTGTGAACTTTTCCCACAGACCAGCTGTCAGTAGTCTGACCTCTAACCCCACAGTCCGGATGACTGTGTAGTACAAGCCAGCATGGCTGGGGTCTCCCACCCACTGGCCACCAGGTTCCTTGCGATATTGGTGGAAACCACTGAGTGGGGGCAGGAAGAAGCCTTGTGGCAGGTGTGACTGGGTCAGCCATGTGCTCAAGGAGAACTAGCTAGGTAACAGAAACTGCTAGCCATCAGGCTCCATGAGCCAGCTGTCTTGGGACAACTCTGACACTTGCTGTGACCTGTCATATGTGGAGTGCAGGCCAGTATCAGGCAGTCCCATGACCCTTCAGGACATCCTCACACAGCTCACATAAGCTTCAAGGCTACACAGAGACTTGGGTTGATACCTTGGCCCCTTGCTATGAAGCTCTGGTACAGGGCTGCTAGGAATTAAGTGGGAAGAACTCAGGCTAGACCTGTGCCACCCCAAATGAGTGAGTAAATGCATCCAAGGATTAGGACAGAGGGAACTGACCCCCGGGTCATCCAGACACCTTGCTCGGAACAGAAGCCACTTCAAACTCTGCTCATTTTACACACCTTCCCTCTGCTTGTGTTCACCCCTTGCCTTTTCCAATGATGTGTCACTAGACTTAAGGCTCACCCACTCAGATGACCACACATCAATGCTATCTGCAAAGACCTTTGTTTCAAGACAGCCAAACAGCCCAGGCTCCAGATAGTATTCCTTCTAAGTATTCTCCAGAGCTAGTGGCTATTGGAGTAGAGTCTTCGTTACCTTATCTGTGGAATGGCCCATTTCATCAAGCCTACAAACACCTGCTGTTTAAAGATGCCAAACTTGAAGCCAGGTATCTGGGCACCTAGCAAGGTTGGTAGTTGGCTCTCCACAGACCCAGGTTACCTACCTGTGGGTTTTTAGTTGATGGGTCCTGTTACTCTGGGCCCCTGGGGACAGCGATACACAGCACACATTTGACCCGAGACCATGGGACTAATGTAACTTGGAGCTAGAAGCAGTGTGATCACCAGAAGACGAACTGTTTTCAGTTGTGGCTGTGGAGGCAGTGGCGGGCACAGGTCTACCTCACACACCCTGGGGTCAGGGTCACCAAAGGACCCTTCACAGAATTTGTCTTTCAGTCCTGTGCCAAGATCTGACTAAGAAGGAAGGCCTGGCCTGACTGGAAGGTGGTGGCACATGCCTTTAGTACTAGCAGCTGGGAGATAGAGGCAGGTAAATCCCTGAGTTTGAGGTCAGTCTGGTCTATAGAGCTAGTTCCAGGATAGCCAGGGCTACACATAGAAACCCTGTCTCAAAAAACAAACAAACAAAAAGGAGGAGAAGAAGGAGAAGGAAGGCAGGCAAGTTGGACCAGGGTTTCATGGTCTTCTGGATGTATGAGATGTCCCAAGATTCTATTCCCCAACCTGAGCTAAGGTTGTCCTGAGCTCTCCACCTACCCCTGGTCATCTTCTTTAGGCCTGGTTTTCTGAGAAGGGTAGGGTATTACCCACATCCCTATCCATGTAGGTCCAAGTCACAGGACAGTCAGAAGTCAGCTTGTGGTTAGCAATTCAGGGCAGCTCAGGACAGGGTTCCTTCAAAGTGCTTTGGTGGAGTCTCCCACAACCCAGGGCATTCCCCTCCTGCTCTGCAATGGAATGTTTGAGAACAGGGAGAGCCTGTACATGTATAGGGCCTAACTCACATCACTGCTCTGGGGATACTTCTCCTATAAGCCAGGAAACTGAGGCACAGACCAACCATGCAGTGGTATGAGGATCTGTCAGGCTAAGTGAAAATCAAAGCTGATTCTCCACCATGCTGTATCCCTTTGAGAGATGGGTCTGAATACCAGAGACCTGGAAAAGTGATCAGAATCCACCCTGGGAACACAGACAGCTTTAGTCTGGAGCCGACAACTACCTCGTAACAAGACCTCAAGAAGCAGAGTAACTGTCAAGTCTTTAGTATGGTGGGAGGATGCCTGCTTCTTATCCAGCCTGGGTGAGGGGTGGCACAAGGGCTGGTTCAATTTCCTCAGCAGAGTTCTCTGCCAGGCTTTGGACCAGTAAGTATACCCATCTCCAATTTACAGCCATCCTCTTATCACTGAGAGGATGGAGGTGAGGACTAAAACCCAGTTATGTGTCAGAACTTGTGGCATTCAGCTTGGCCTGCAGCAGAGCCCTAAGGTATAGTGGCTGTGGTCTATTCTGGACTGGAGGCCACAGTTTCTGACCAAATACCTTTCTCTGCTTGGGCACCATGGAGTGGGCTGCAGATCTGCTAGTCTGGAGTTTCCCAAGCTGTACCCAGGCTGGACTGGCTCAGGGAACACCTTACTGTATCCTAACTATTACCCTTTGACTGAAGCTCCACCTTGCTGGCTTGAAGGTACAATTGTGGGAGTGGTCACACCCACCTATTTGATCAACACACTGCCAACTCCCTGTGCCTTTTGACAGGTTGCGTTACTTAGGAGAAACGGAGACGGGCAGCTTGCTGAAAGTGAGGCAGGACTGGAATTTAGAAGCAACTGCCCAACCATGACCAGGAAAGGAAACCTTGGGGTTGTCACAGCTTGGGGGCGGGGACAAGTACTGGGACACTAGTGGCATCTAGTGGCAGAGATGATCGATGCTGCTCAATGTGCATAGTATGACCTTCACAATTCAAGGAGGCACCGCCAGGCCCAAAGGTGCACAATGCCCACCCCTCCACCCCCCTCTGCTCTCCACAGATCTAGTCAGACCTGATCTGTGAGTCTGTACATTTTCAGGCACTAGATGATAGACTAAATGAGGGTCACTAACTTAACAGTGGCCAGAGCCAGGGCAACCAAGCTCTGCTACCCAGTGCCTCTTTCTCCCGAGTCACGGTAAGACAGACAGGCAGGCTGCAGTAGGTCAGCTGGGGCCAGAGGACTACACCATATTATGGTCCTGGGAGCACGACTACCCTTCCTCTGGGCTCGTGCACTGTCTCAGAGCCCCTTCTCCTACTCTGGCTATGTCAGGTGGGGTCTGCCTGGCAGGCCTCCCCTTCCTCAGCCATAAAAAGCTTCTCTCCACAGGGCTGATGGCCCTGCAGAGAGAAGCTATGCACAAGCAGAGATCCCAGCAGGGTGAGACTGCTCAGAGGCCCAGGGATGAGGACTTTAGGGAACAGCAACCCAAAGACACTGTGTCATGCAGGGTGGCCATGGGAACCCAAGGAGAGGAGGTTACTGAAGTCAGAGTGCCCTGCCAGCCTTCCTGTCCTTCCCTGGTAGATGCCTGGTCCAGCAGACACAAATGCTGAGTTCAGGCAGGAATGAACAGAGTTGAACTCCTTCCCGTGCATGGGACATGGTCAGTCTTGTAGTCCCTGACTCAGAGGTCAGAGGATGTGTGTCCCAAGACCTCTTTGCCTCGGTACATCAGAGGTGGGGGAAAAGGCCAGGTCACTCACTTGCCTGGGCCCCAGGCATGTAAAAACTAGTTATCCTGAGGTATGGTCCACTCTGAGTCAGCACAGAGCTAGCAAGCAGGAGAAACGTAGGGTGCTGTGGTTCTGCAAGGCTAACTGGGCCTCACTAGACCACAGCACCCTTATAGTCAACCTCAACCCAGAGACAGCAATGCACTGAGCCTTCCTTCTGTCCTCCAACAGGCTTTGGGGCTATATACTACTTGGTTAACTGTGGGTCTGCCAGTATTCTGCAGATACACCTATACAATTGAAGAGCCCACTAGTAGCTATTTACCCACGCCTGTACGTGAGGGTGGCACTTTCCCCTTTTAAGGTCCCTGGCAGAGCAGGTGACCTCTCACTCACAGCTCAGGCTAATGAAGCCTGCCTGCCTCACATTGTATGGGTGTACCAGCCAGTAAAGCCCTCCCTGGGCAGTCTAAGTGGGAGAGAAGGAGAAAGGTTTTATAGGACACTATCATCTGCAAACTGTCCCCTACAATCTGCAATGGCCTTGGGAGGCCAATTTGTCCTGTTGCTGTGCAGTACATACCAAGCAGAACTACAATAAAGCTACTTTGTGTCCTCTGGTGACCTGGGCCCATCAATGGGCACAAGGGAAGAACCTTCCATAACCCACTCCCACACCTGGCTTTGAGAAGAAGACCCGGCACCCACTTGTGTTTGGGAACAGTCTGATCTCAAGTCATAGCCCCTTCAGGGTGCTGAGACAAGGGGGTCAGTTGACTAGAAAGGGACACAGCAGGTCAAGGACATGGATTCCCTGCCTACAATGTCTGTCACTTGTTGTCTCTCTTACTTCAGGTTTTCTGGGCTGTCGCCAGGGTGTCTCTCTGGGGTCACACTGACCAAGCTGCCATCACCACAATTCACCCACTTCCACGCACAAGTTCAGTCATGGCCAATCAGATCTAATGTCAGTCTGGGCACTGTCTGCACTTCTAAAAACACTGGACCAAGTGCAGACACCCTGTGACACCAGTGACAGGCTGATCCTCCTCAGCCTGCTTGGCAGCAGGCACGGCCATAGCACCTCCATTACTTATACTCCCTGCTCCTGGGACCTGAGGAGAGGGGATGCTTAGGAGGGTTTTCCTGGTCTGGGTCAGAGCCTTAATCTCCTCTGTCTGCAACTCTCTTGTCCACAGCCCTTTCACAGTGACATAGGCTCTGAACTGCAGGTCTGGTTCTCACTGGATCCCACAGGAGGGGTTGCAGAGATTCTGTGGAAGGCTGGCAGGGTAGAAGGAGTACACAATTGCCCACAGGTTTATCACCTTTATCACCTGGGCAGCAGGGTCACCAGAGGGCTGGGGTGGGCAATGTGGAAGCTGCCTAGAGCCAGGTGGAAATGGCCACCATGTCCCAGACCCACACATGGTCCATTAAAGCAGGCCATGACCACATGACCAGAGCCAGGGTCTCTGCCTTCAAGGACCTGGTGATCACCACAGTCCTCAAAGGACTGTGCCCAATGGGAAGTGAGGGTGGGCAAATGGTCTGGAGAGGGGTCAACATTCCAACACTGTCCTTCAGAAGCCAAGACATCCATCTGGGTAACAGAACAACAAATCCCTGGGGGAAACTAGCGCAGGAATTTTGCAGACGCTGCATTGAGCCCTGGAACTCAGAAAGGAACTGCTGGGGGCGTAGGGCGTGCTTGCCACAGCCACCGGAATTATAAACACATTGTGCATTCAAGCCTGACAAAAGCTCTGCTGTCCCCTACTCAAGTTTGTTTTCACTAACACCAGGTTCCGGTACTAAATTCCTCACCGTCTGTATGTCATCACAGCCTCCGCACTCCTACCTCCAGGCACATGCTTTGCAGTGTGACAGGGCTGTGAGCACAGAATACAATCCCTTCTGCCCATAAAACAGGTCTTGACCACTCCCTGGGGCGTCCAGGTGATGCTCAACCAAACTCCCTCCCTGGCAGTTGGACAGCACCGCTGTGCCTGAGAGTCTTGCCAACCAGACTCCCAGAAATGTGAACCATCTCCCAAACGTATCCGGAAAGGTGCTGGAGGGAACTCTCTGGAGTCCCAAGGTCGGTCAGTAGGCCTTAGCATGGGAAAGACTGGATTGTAAAGAAGACAGCAGATACTGCCCCATGAAGGTAAACTCAGTCTCCTATACCTAGGGATTTGGAACGTCATACATACATAAAGATCAGAAAAGGAGGCAGGCCGACCCAAACCCCAGTTCTGTGCCGAGTCTGCTTTCATCTATGAAATAAAGAATAAGGGTCCTTGCTGCCTCTGCCCCAGGGCAATACCAGGACAGGGTTTTCTCTGCAGCGCCTGGTCACTGACTGATGCTGAGCATTGGCTGCTGCCAAGTGCTTGACTTTGCAGTGTTCTGGCTCGGCCTAAACAGTGCCCCAAACTCTCTGGGGCAGCAATGGCCACTAAATGCCACAATGTTCAGCCAACTCCTATCCATTCTTCATTTAGGCCACTACAGGGACTGAGATAAATGAAAAGAAGACAGGAAACAGGGGCCCTGGGCTGGGCTTGAGCACAGGGCTCCACTTCAGTTCACCCCATAAAGGCTGGAATTTAAAACCCAGACCCTTGTGTTTCTATCTCCCCAAAAGAGACTCCCTAATAAAGTACATACACTTCTACTGTGGAATAGTACAGTTATGAAAAATAGGTGAGCTGGGCGTTGGTGGCACACGCCTTTAATCCCAGCACTCGGGAAGGAGAGGCAGGCAGATCTCTGTGAGTTCTAGGCCAGCCTGGTCTGCAGAGCGAGTTCCAGGACAGCCTGCAAAACAATACAGAGAAACATGAGTCTGCCTGTATGTATCAGGATTTCCAGACAGCGGGCAGAGCATCACATATGGCTTGTGATCACAGGGATCACAGAGAGCACATACCTTGTGTGGTACACGCCTCACTTTCCCCTTCGCCCCTCCCAGCAGCCTCAGAAGACAGTCAGGGAAAGAGACTCAGAGATTCAGATGATCTCAAGTTCAGACAGTGTGGCCAAAGTCCATGCAGTCTTAACCCGCTGCTCTACATTCCTCATGCCAGCAGGGCCTGTCTGAGCGGTGAGATGACAAGAGATTTGCCTTGCTTTTATAGCCACTGACATGCCTACATTAAAGCAGTACACCTGCTTCCCAGGCCTGTTCCCTGCACTCCTTACTGGCTGTACAGCCACTGGGCACCTCATCTGAACACACTGTGAGACCTTGCTACTATCCTCCTGCAGTGACCCCACTCCTGAAGGCACTCGTCACATGTCACTAAGTCCCAATGCCTGTCACACAGCCTCTGGCACACAGGCATGAGAATCACCAAGAGCCATGCTTCTGGACAGAGAACAAATCAGTCCCCAGAGAGACCTCACACGGACATGCTGGCCACAAAGCAGAGGGAAGGGCGCTGTGGTGGGTGAAGCCCTGTGACCCCCAACTTCCTACACAGATGGGCAGACACGGGACTCCGCAGACGCTTCACAGGCTCCTGCCCACTAGCTAGGGACAGGGTTTTGTATACATTTTCTGGAGCTCACAGTTTCTCCTGCCATTCAGCTTTCCCTGGGGCCAACTCAATGTCCCAGGTGAGGTAGTCAAGGAGGACCAGGCCAACTCCTCACGGCACTGGGGGTGGGGATGGGGCCGAGGGTCACACGTCGAGTCACTCACCCTTTCCCATCTGGATGAAGCCAAGCAGGATGATGAGGGCCAGGGCCAGCAGCTTGGCAGCAGCAAAGGCATCCTGTACTCGGGTAGCAGCCTTCACGCTGTAGCAGTTCACAGCTGTGAGCAGCACTGTGGGGACGGACAGACAGAACGAAGTGTGAGTCCCCACGGGGCAGGCGGTCTAGTCCAGGGTCGGGGCATGGAGGAGGTCAGGTGCTCCTGGCTGGGATCCCACAGAGGCAAAGCCCTGCCTGCCCATGGGCTCTGACTTTCTGGGACTTGTTTTGATAAGCTAGCTGGTTCTCTGGGGCCAGGGTCAAAGGTTAGAAACACCAACTCTTCAAAGAGTCTAATCCCAGGTGCCCTGGATAGCCTGCAGCAAATTTCCTTTCATCTTTTTTCTTTTTGGTTTTTACAGACAGGGTCTCATCATGTAGCCCAGGCTGGGCTCAAACTCAAGATCTTCCTGCCAAAGTCTTCTGAGTGCTGAGATCACGGGCTGCGCCACCAGGTCCAGTTTTTTTTTTCTTCCTTCCTTTCTTATTTTTACAACTATTATTACCCGGGCCTTTTGAGACAGGGTCTCACTATGTAGCCCCACTGGCATTGAACTCTGGATCCTCTACTCCAGCTTCCTGAGGGCTAGAATTAGACATGTGCCACCATGTCTGGCTAAGATTGCCATTTTAACTCAGTGTCTCAGCCTCCTTCATCTGTTGTCACCCATGTGTACCCAATCCTATGGAAGAGCACCGGCTGCAGACTCAAGTGAAATCCAAACCTGCCACCTGGAGGATGGCCACTTAGCCCTGGGTACTTATGTGGTTCTCTGACAGCACATGCTAGGGTCGAGCACAACACTGTAGGCTGTGAGGTGACCCTTTCCTTAAAGACACCTTCCATGGGCTGGTGGAAGCAGGGAGGTGCGGCATCTTGTCTGTGTGAATCTGATAAGCCAAGAGGAGGGGCGATGGGGCAATGTGGGCATAGGCTGTAGGTGGGAACAGAAGGGAACAAATGCTCCCACATGCTGCTGCACGCAGGTGGGCTCAGGGCATGACAGAACACACACATGTGCCAACTCTACTGCTGCTTAGTAGTACTGAACATGGAAACTATGATTAATATTCTGTAGATACCTAAGCAACTGGACCACACAGGGTGAAGGCAGGGCCTCGGGGGCCCAGAAGGGCTGCAGATAGGCAGTTGAGATAGGACTGCCTGGTCTCCTAATGAACCCCAAGACCTTGGCAAGAGTATATAGACATGGAGTAAGGAACTGGTGAATCAATATTGTACTGCATGTAAACACAAATGAAAATACCCCAAAACCAACAACTACACCTACCCTACCACCTTGGTAGCAGCTGGGTGCCCATACTAGAGACCCCTGCTTCCTTGGCAACGACCCCAAGAGAGCTAGGGGGCCTCTACAACCCACTCTGAGGGAGGGGTTGGTTCCTGGCTTGCCTTAGTCAAACATTAGCCAGTGCAGCATGCAGCCTGAGAGGCCCCCAACAAGGTACCAGTTTACCAGCATCCTGACTTCTCCAGCATGTAGAAGCCCATTGCTTCCCTACTGAGCAACTACTACCAGAGAAACTGTGCCGATTCAGGCCTCACAGATGCCAGGCAGCATTTTCCCCAGCCAGACTAATTATACATAATTTTGCAGTTTGGGGAACAGACCGCAAAGACAGAAATCCACATTAATTATCTGGACTTGGCCAACCTCAGGTGGAAGGGAAACAGGAAGACTCCCTGGTAATGGGGAATGGAGGCCTCGGCAGTTGCTTTACCTCCAGGAAGTCAGAGATCTCATTAGCATTGAGTCACCTCGTCTTTATAGCTCTGGCTGATGTAATTCAGGCTGTGACTATGCTCTGAGAAAGCTCTATTGGCTGGGTAGCTACTGCTACTACAACCACTTGCTTGAAAACTCCCAGTCTCCCAGAATGAAGGAGTGAGAAGGGAATACAGGATGAACACATGAGTTCCCTTTGAAATGCTTCCCCATCTGGAGCCTTTGTCCCTTTACCCGGAGGTCATCATTCTCTCAGCCAGCTTTCTTGAGGTAGTCCTGATAGGTGTGATGACAAAAGCCTAAGATGCCAAGCCTCTCTTGATCCCGTCTCCCCAGATACCAGGCTTCTGGGTACAAGAGACTGGCAGATTGCACCACTAGCCAGATCCCACTTGGCTGGGGTGTGCTGGCAGGAGGGGCGTGCCCAAGCCCAAAGCCGCTGTCACTATGCCACAGCCTTGGCAGCTGTGGTCTCTGGTTTTTGGCTTTGAAGGGAAAGTATGACACAGCCCTGGGCTCCAGATAATGTGCCTTTGCTGAGTCGCCCTGTGTGACGTGTCCTTCTGAACCTGAGGAGGGGACAGGGTATTAGAGCACCATCCTGGCTGTCAGGGGACCCCTCCTCTGCTACCCCAACACCCTGCCCTGTCTGAGGGCCAACTCAGCTTCTCCCTGGCTAAAAAAGGCCTGAGCCCAGACTCCAGGCCAAGTAGGCAGAGGAGGGCCAGCACGGCTGGACCTCGGCAACTGAGGCTGAACTCTTTCTTCCTAGCTGCTGATTTCTCTGACCTCAGAATAAGAGAACAAAAGGGACTCTATACTTTCACATCTTTTATAAAAAGAACTCAAGCAGGTGATGAAATGGTAATGCTCACTGACTCGTAATGAGCAAACAAGGGTATTATTATTTCCTACAGCCCTGTTTTTCAAAACGAAATAATCTGAGATAAATGAATGGATTCATCTGAATCCAGGGGCTTCTGGCCTTCATGAGACATTGTCATAAGAGACAGTCAGAAGACTGACCGGAAGGAACTTCAGCTCCCTACCCAGACAATCTGTCGCCTATGCACTGTTTCTCCACCAAAGTCACAGGTAGTAGGATTGGCTGCTGCGACCCACTCTTGTTGATACGCAGCCTCTGGCAGGGGGATATGGGTGGCCACGGCACAGGGGTGGAAGCTGGTCCTCTTTGGAGTTCTCCTCATGGCATCCCTAGATAAGTGTGGTTATGCTGGCTCTCAGCACCAGCTGGTCCAGTGAGATAAAGCCCAGTGCCTCATACTGGGTGCAGATAGCTGGCAGCCAGGCCTTCATGCCACAGGCCTAATAATGACTGTTCTTCACAGCTCAGGTTAGTTTTCATCCCTAGCCAGCTGCATGGTGCCACCCAGGGCCATTTGGCTTACCACAGGGCTCCACGGTTCACACCTTACAAAGGTATAGTATGCTGGAGAGAGACAGCCTTTACTGTCTGACTGGGTAAGCAGAGCACAGTGTCCAAGCCATGGAAAAAATCCTAGGGTCACCCTGACATCACCTGAGCCATGGCTGAGCAGGCATTTGGCACGAGGGCACTGTGTGTTCTGGCTGGGGTCTATAAGAAGGTAGCAGGATCTCAGGGCACAGAGAGACAGCTGCTGAACAGTTGCTGCCTCATTCGCACCAACAGGCAGGTGGTAGAGACTCACCAGGCAAATGAGGCTGGTCCTGCCCAGACTTCCCCAGCGCACTAAATCTCCCTAGGTTCCTGAGGCGGAGTACAGGAAGTGGTTGGTGACTTCACTGCTTCCAGGAAATATGGCTGGGCTGGCCCCCCAAGAATGTCTAGCCCTGGACCAGCAGTTGGACTAAGCTTGATCATGGGCTGGCTTAGAGATCCCCCCCAGCAGAGGTTCTCATCAAACACTTGGCAGCAGACCTGGGACCCTGTCTCGAGGTAATTCTGACTCCTGCCAGTGGCTCCATCTGAATCCAGTCAGCACACACAGGAACCCAGGGTTAGAGGGCGATCCTACAAGACTCCCTAAGAGTCAGTGGCATCTCCTGACTCCTTAAAGTCTGCATGTCTCCAATTCCCCGCTCAAGTCTCCCAGGTAGTGCCCACAAGAGCCACAGTGAGCCCCTCTGTACACTGATTCAAGATTTGCCTTGCAGTAAATGGATGGGATGTCTAGTGACCAGTCATCCCAGTACTCATCTGACCAGACTCCCCAGGTGCTGGGAGAAACAAACGAACAAAACAAATGACTAGAACTTCCACCCAGACAAGTCCAAGACAGCTGAGCTTCTGAGGTCAGCAAGGTCCCACACATGCTGAATTCACTTGCCCAGGGCACCTACTCACACACCAGTGGGCGACTTATCTAGGCTTCTTTTTCTGGGCTCCAGAGAATACATGTGGCCACACAAGCCTTCTCCTCTGCTGGCCACTGAGGTAAGGAAACCGGCAGGGTGTGATGCAACTCGAGTATAGGATGTCACTCTGATGGGCCAAGAAAAATGAACTTACGACTATATGCCTTGGTAGAGGAAGGTCTGTGGAGCCTTCAATGCTCTATGGATATAGTGACTAACAGGCTGGTCACACATGTTCCTGTTCCCCGCCTTAGGCTCAGATCTATGTAGTTTCTCCATTATCTTTTTCTTGGTGTGGGGATGGAACCCAGACCTCTAATATACACCAAGCAAACACTGAGCACTAGTCAACCAAATACAGTTCCAGGGGTGCAGGTATCAGTGACTGTTCAAACAGGCCTGGCATATCCTTTCAACAGGCCAGACAACGTTGGCTTAATCAATTAAAACTCACTAATACCCAACTTCTGGACCAAAGAAAACACCCCCCCCCCAAGACTTCTGAAGCAAGTTCCTTGAAGAAAGAGGTCTCAAGGGTTCCTGGGAACTCCCAAAAGGCACCTGGCCTCTATAGCATACCTAATGCTTCTAAGCTTGTGCTGCCCTTTCTACAAACAGAGCTACCACTACCACCATATGGCTTAAATACCCTGTCAAGGGCTTCATGACCCTTTTAATATGATCACTGCAATGCTAAGTATCAAAAGGATCGGAACTGTGTACGAGTGATAAGGGTTTCTCACCACCAGCTAAGAGCAGTGTCTCACACATCTACACACGGCACCTCTACTTCCTCCATCAGTGAAGTTATCAAGGAAAAGCGGGCCAGACCAGCTCCAGTCACACAGCAGTAGTTCTTGGGGAAGCCTCCTTTAGCCAGCCACTCGGGATGTACCTAAAGCAGCCTAGAGCAGTCTAGGTGTAGGTATATGTGTAGGTGTGTGTGTGTGTGTGTGTGTATTTGTAG